CAGGTGAGATTTGAAGCTTCCGGTCTGGTCTTGATCTTGGCTGGGCTCTCTCACATACCTGAAGCAGCTGTTGGGGTAACTGGGCTGACCTAGTTCTGGTCCTGTCGTCTCTTATCACCTAGCGATATGGCCAGGGCTTGTCTACCTGATGGGAGAAGGGATCCTAAGAAAAAAATTAAAGTCTGCAGGTTCTTAAGTTCTAGGCTGGGTACTGGCACACCATCACTTCTGCCATATTCTACTGGTCAGGTCACAAGGTGAGTGCCAATTAAAGGGTTGGTGATATGGATTCCACCTCTCGATGAACAGATCTGCAAAATCACGTGGCTAAGAGCAAGGATACAGGGGGCTATGAACAATGATACAGGCAGGCCACGATGAAGGCCCAGCATAGTGCTTGGCTCCACTGCAAAGGTGCTTGACTAGCTAATTAATTCAATAAATGTAAATGACCCTACTACTTAGGATTACCTTAATTAATCAGGTGAACTGGACTAAGTAAATTCTTTACGCCTATTAAAGTGAATGCTTTAATTCTTCACTCGTATTTAATATATTCTGAAATCCTTCACCCCTATTTTATAAACACAACACAGAGTTGAAATCTTAGAAAAAAATGTATAAAATTTTAAAACTCCCATTTTCTTAGCCTTTGGGCAGTTAGATATTCCCCAATAGTGTGTGGGGGTGTTTGTGCTTTCCTGAGGCCTTAACCAGAGCCCCAGCAGGGTGTCATACAAATTTGGCCCTAGATATTTCTAGGTAGACAGCCGCGTGAGAACCCACCCAGCCTCCTCCTGGATGGTGGTCCAATCGTCTTTATCAACTAGAGGTTGAAAGAATTAAAGTAGCTTCAAAAACACTTCATTGTACCAGGTAATGGGATCTCTGATTCCTCATTCTGTAGTTTATATCCTAAATGCTGTTTGAAACCAGTATTTCATTAAGTGCTCCATGATAAGTAGTTTGTTCAGATTAAGGTTTTGAATTATTTTCATTCACATTCATATGATGAGCAAGATAAAACTTGAACTCAATTTTTAAGAATCTATTTCTGTACCATATAGCTTTATTCATCCTATTTATGCCTACGGAGATGCTGAACTGGTGATAAAATAACACAAATGTCTGTTCACCTGCTATTTGAAAATGCTGCATCGCTTTCACTTTCTGCACAAAAATGTGGAATGTACTTTTCCAAGTAGCTTGTGTTATATCCTTGTCAGTTTTGAAATCTCACTCTATGGATTTTTTTTTTTAGTGTGTTGATTTGGTTTTATATATTTATATTTTATATTCAGATTTAGATGTAACGACTCTGGATTCAGCAGCCAGATGTCTTTCCAAGATATTCAGACATGAAGAGATAATGACCTTTATTTGACTTTTTTGATGGACACTGAGTTATAAATTAGGAATTGAGAGTAGCTGTTGGCTGGGGCTTTAATTAGCATCTCACTAACTACCTAGTTGTCCTAATAATTAAATGACATCTAATTTAATATAAGAAGTTTGCAAACCAGCTGCTGATTTATGAATTCATTGAACTATTTCACCTTTAATAAAGAGAGCAACAAATTATTTTATATAGTTAAATTTCTATTACTTTCACTGTATTTGAAAACAGTTGCACCCCATCAGATATGTGACATTATACAAGAAGAGACAATAGAAAATCAAGTATAAGACAAAACCCAGACTCACGATTTGAAAATTTATGTATGGAAGTATCTACAATTCAGCTTTTAAAAGACAGTTTAATTTTCCTTATCTGCTTACAGACAGTTTAATTTTTAAAAAGCAAGAAACTGATTTCAAAGTAATTTTTTTCAATTAGATATAACACTTTAACTGTCAATATAGGAAACACTATTTTTCATTATTATAGGTTTTTGGGGGGTTTTTTGTTTTGTTTTTTTAGAAAGAAGAGTCTCAAAATCAGAGTTAAAACTTTCTAAGAATTGTTACTAATTTCAAACTAAAGTGACATGGGAAACTTGAGCTCAGCATAACCACTTGCTCCTTTTTCAAACTGGAAAGCTGGGTCTACTAAGCGGACCAAAAAAAATCTTCTGGAAGTAGGGAGGTTGGAGGCGGAAAGAAGGAAGGTGTTAGAAATGGTAATGTACTGTAAACACAGATAATCCAACTAAAAAACCTAATTTCTTCAATTTACAAATAATGGGGTTCATGCTTTTGATTCTGTGGAAGATTTTGTTTTATTTTTGGCTTGAAAGCAATAATCTGAGCAGCCATTCCTCGTCATTTAATTAAAACCTCTTAATGACAGTATATTATTTGATATGTAACTTAAAAGTCCTTAATATATTTATAATGACACTGTGAATTTTCTCCTTTAAAATTCACCTTTTGTTTTTATGGCATAACAATCTCTTACAGAACACAACTTCAAGTCAACATAAAATATGCAGATTTCTAAATGCCAGAGATAAGCCAACGAAACAATCGCTATGACTTTGAACTCTTCATCCCAAAGATGCATTGGGTGCATTTTTTATAAATTGAAATAATAAATAATAGATTGGGTCTAAAAGTAATTTGTGTTTTTGCTGAGCCATCTGCTCCCAAAATATCTGGATTCCGAGTCTCTAATATATTCACTATGAATGTTATTCGTATCTCAAACTCGTATATTTAGGAGCAAAACCAAGACTTTGGTCGTTTTTTTCATTTCTTTTAAAGTTTTCTCTTTTCTTCCTGTCAGCTAAAACAGTTTCTTCTTCATTCAGATCACATAAAAAGGAAGAGGAGATTAGAAATTATGCTGCATTCTCTTCCATCCATTCCAGGTTGTCGACCTCTCTAATTTATTAAAATATGGAATGTTCATTCAAAAGAAGTAATTCCTTAACTCATCTAAATTCTATAAGGAAAAAAAAATATATGAAGGCCCAAACAGCGGCCTGCCCTGCCTCCTCATTCTGAGCCGGCCATTTTATCAGCCAGCAAATGGTGCTATAATTCGCTGCACTGACAAGGTAGGCAGGCAGGCAGTGGTTTTGGACTTTGCCAGATTGGGAAGCTGGCAAATACCCTGTTATTTTCTGATGCCTTGATGGAAATATACAGCAATGCTAATTACCCTAATTGTTTGTGCCTAAGATTTAAGTTCTTATACATAACACTTCAGTATGAGATTCAGAATAACATCAAAGAGTGGGTGGGTGTTCCATGACTCAGTGAATCTTTGATTCTAGGATCCAATACATGGAATGTAGACACCAACTCTGTCCCTCGTTCACTGTGTGTTATTTGTTAGACATCCTCAAGGTTCTGTCTACACCCACTCATTTGACGGTGATTATATACAGTTACTGTTTTGCTTTCTCTGTGTTTGCAAACATATTGCAAGCCTTAGATGATTAAGGACTGCCTACAAATACATATTTGTGTTTTCTGGCCTGTATATCCTATGTGTGTGTTGATTTTGCAGCCAGTTGAATATATTGCTGCTGTTTTTTTTTTTTTTACAAGTCAATTCTATTGGAATGTTATGCTTATAGAAAGGCTTTTAGTTCTTGAAGTAATTGTAAATAAGTCCCAGTTCCATTCTCTTTACTTCTAAGTAGACCCACTTCACTGGATATACTTAATTTGTAATGGAAAGAGGAAGATTGCTTAAGGCATAGTTTCCAAAAATGTGATCCTCTGTCAGATGTTAATAGATGTTATTTTTAGGGTTCCATAGTCAAATGAGTTTGTAAAATGGAAGATTAAAATTAGTTAAAACAGGTTTCTTTATGGAAAGGCTGCTCTGCAAATCTAATATGCTAATGAGCATTTATAAATACCTGAGAGAGTGATAATGTAGGTGGTTTCCTACCTATCTGACCATAAAAATCATGATTTTGAAGAGCAGCTCACATGGCTACTTTTCTAGAGAACACATTTTGTGAATCCCTGATCTAGGAAACAAGACCAAACAGACCATTAAGTAAACATATATATGGCAAGAAGAAGAGAGCTCAAAGACAGCAAAAGTGATATTTGGAGTCAAGAGATGATATCAGTCGGGATACCTAGGTTCTTCTGCTGCAGTGACAAAAAAATCCGTTAGTGATTTAGAACAGGTCGTGTTCATTTTTGCCCATGCCTAATGTTGGTCACAGGAAGGCTGAGTGCACTGCGCCATATGATCTCCATTCAGACATGCAGCTGGAAGAGCCTTCACAGATCTAGGATGTCACTGATCACCACGATCAACACATAGACTTATTAAGAATTTCTACCCAGAAGTGACCCACACAACTCTACTCACATTCCATTGGCAAAAGCACGTTATATGGCCGTATCTAACTCAATGGACATGGGGAAGTATAACGCTATCATATGTCCAGGAGAAGAAAATCAGAATATTCGTGTGAATGTTCCTAACGACTGCAGAGTCTGAGGAGAGCTGCCTCTCCGAAGGTCATGCACCTTCCTACGTCCAGTGACTCGTCACTGAAGACCAGGGCCCTCACCCCAACTCAGGACAATTCTGAGGGGCAACCCAGTTTCCCAGGCTTTCAGGGGGGTTGACTGAGGCCATTGTTAAGATGGCATCATGGCCCAAACTCTCCCTCCATCCAGTCCTGCTCTCTTCACTTCCTTTCTATAAGAAATTGTTCCCAAAAGCACTTCCTAAAGAAGCTCCTGCTTGTGAATCTTTATCTCAGAAGCTGCTTTATGAAGAGCCCAGTCTGCTATATTATATAACATGCTCATAGTCAAGTCCCTTTCCTTTATTCTTCTTTAAAATTACCTTAGTTATTCTCAACCTTTTACTTTAAGTGAATTTTAGAATCAACCTGTTAACTTCCACCAAATAAAATTTTCTGTTCAGTCTACGGCCATACCACCCTGAACGCGCCGGATCTCATCTGATCTCGGAAGCTAAGCAGGGTTGGACCTGGTTAGTACTTGGATGGGAGACCGCCTGGGAATACCAGGTGCTGTAGGCTTTAAAAAAAAAAATTTTTTTTTCTGTTCGTGTTTGGATTGGAATTGTATCATATTTTGACATATTAATCTAGGGACAATTGATAACTTTATGATATTGAATATTTCCATTTATGAACATGGTATGTCTCGAGAGATTATTTTTTACCATATACTTGCCCAAATTCTACTTTTTCAATATTATGACACACTCAAAGGATTATGGGAGTGAAGGAGCAGGCTATGCATATGCCTAGTTCCCTTGTTGTGTCTTTCCATATAAAGAGACTAAATTTGACACAAATGTCATTTAAGTAAGTTCAGTGCTTTAAGAATGACTGATGCCACATGAAAGGAGCTCAATAGCAGCATCTGAAATTACCTGAAAGACTGAGTCATCCAACAAAGGAAGTACAGTTATTAGATTCAAGAGAGTTATAAAAGATGCCTTAAACATTAGGGGAAAAAGACAAAGTAAAAAGACTGGTCTTAGCTACTTGGAATCATAAAGGTTGGTAGATTGATATTCATTCATTATGAAACAAATATTCATTGAGTACCCACTGTTTACCAGGCAATGTTCTAGCACTGGGGGAAGAGGAAGGAGACCAAACACAACCCCTGCCCTTTGTGAGCCCACTTAGGGGAGGGACTTCTTAAACACTTAACTGAGTCCTGAGCTCCCACTGAATCAAAACTATAAAATCACTCTGTCAGTCCTCCCGCTGCTTATAAGAAGATTAACAATCATAAAATCACTAGAGCAATAATCAGTGCTATGTGGCATGGTACAAACTATAAATGTAATTAAAGCTCAGAAAAGAAAAATAACTGGAGAGTGATGGGCGGTCATAATAGGCTCCCTGGAGGAACTGCGTCTTGTGTTGGAATTTGGTAGGTAGAGAGAATGGAAAGTGTTTTAGGTGAGGACAACAGCATGAAAAAAAAAAATAAAACACTGAGATGAGACTCCATGCCATGTGCGTAGACAGAGAGGAACTCAGCATTCCTGGAAAAGCCAATCATGGTGGGTAAGAGGAGACGAGGTCAGATAAATCAGGTGAGGCCAGATAATGGAGGAGCTGGTTCACCAGCAGTGGCGTTTAACATGCCTGCAAAGACCAAGACCAGATGATCCTCCTGCTCTCCTTTCTTCCTCTTCCTCCTCCCCCTTTTACCATAGAGCAGAGAATTGAGTTATCACCCTACCATCGATATAAAGGAAGCATTGGAAATTAAAGAGACAAACGATGAAAACAGTTACTTGGAGGTTGACACAGCCTAAGAGGCTCTGAGGCCGAAGACAGCACGGTCCCTGTGTCATGAAACATAACGTGGCGAGGCAAGATTGATGTGTCTAATACTAAACTAACAAGCACTCATAGCCCAGCTGTTCCCTGGGACTTCCTGCCCCGTGGCTTGAACTCCAAATCCAGACCTGGTTGAAGTTGAAAACTCTTCTCTTGCTTCCTGCAGATCCCTAGGAGCGCGTCTCGTTCATGGTCACTCTGTCTGTAGCACACGTATCCATGTGTGTGGCTTCTGGGCTTCCCCCATGGTGATCTCTGTGCTCATCCCTATCCCTTCACCAGTTTCCATAACATATACATGCTCTCCACACGTTTCATGAGAGTATTTTAATTTCTTGAGCCATTGAGAATCCAGGAGAACAATCACGTTGGGCTGCACACAAACTTCTCCTGCTTCGCTGCGCTGCTCTCCCCTCCTGTCCCGCTCCCCTCTCTCCTCCTCCTTTCTCCTTTCTGGAATTGCTTGCAAGAGCCTCATAGTCTCCTTTCTTTTTGATGGAGGCCAATTCAATTCTCCCTCAGTCCTCGCCCCAAACTGTCATGTTCAAACACATCAAGGTGCTGATGAACAAAGGGGAAGACACTGTTTCTTCAAGGCAGTTACGTTTGTAAGTATTACACAAAACACAAAATTCCCTAGCATAGAAAACACGCAAACGAACAAACCAAGGCAGAAAAAGAAATACGTTTCAGGCAGCATGGCAAAAGCTGGGGATAGAAGGGCCACAGCAGTTCAGAGAAGAAAAGAATCAATCAAGAACAGTTGTAATAGAGGAGATACATCTTGAGTTGGACTTTAAAGAAAGGCTAGAATTAGTATTGCAGGGAGAGAAGGCAAGAGGTCATTCAAGGTAAGAGAATAATTGCAAGAAAACCACAGAGGGAAAAAAAATGAGCTTGGCATCTGGGAGAAGGCAGCTCTCAATTGAGAATTTAGAAGCACGATAAGGCTGACTGGGTGCTGGAAATGCTGGATTGTCAGACTCCAGGGTTTTGACTTATTCAATCAAAATAAAAAAAATTAAAAAAAAAAGCTCTAACAAATATGCTTTGGGAGGCAGTGGGGGTGGCAAGCTTTCAGGGGGATTTCTCAGAAACAAGAACCAGGGGTTCGAATACCATCAGAATTTTCTGTTCCTGATCTCTGCTTCTTTCTATAGATTGGCTTCTTCTAAGCAATCAGCTTTCTCTACCCAGGGACAGCGGTGACTCAGCAGATTCCCAGTTTTCCTCCTATGGAGAAAAGGATCCGACCTCTTGCTGAAGCTCCAACTATCAAGAGAAGGATTTGGGCTGGCTTGAATCCAATGCCCATGCCTGGAACCGGCACTGTGGTCAGGAAGGTAAGGCTGTGGAAGAAGATAATGGAACGCTTACAAGAAAGCATGGCAAGATTTAACAAATGGAGAACACGGGGAATAAAGAAGGGGATGGGGCTTGAACATCACCTTTGGGAGCGAGCTGTGAGTGAGGAAGCAAATACTGTTTGTTCTACGATTGAACTAACTCACTGGCAATTCTTATATAAAGAAAATTGATTTATTTTTTAGCAAGCGCTTATTAATAACCTGCTATTCTTAAGTTTTTATTATCTCTCTCATTTTTTTTCACTTTATTCTAATGTAAGTCATTATCCACTATTCTGTGTCCTTCTAAGCCATCTTAAATTCTTTTTGGAAAATATAGAGAAAAAATTAAAATCAACTACTGACCAGCTGTTATGAAGCAATGAGCATGTGAAGACATGGTTCCTGAGAGACATGGGGAGAAGAGATAAGGATCTTCATCTCCTCCACACTCACCCTTGCCAGGGTACGTGGCGCCTCTGAAACCTTCGAGAGCCTCTAATGGTGCCGTTGAGGGGTCCTGGCCCCTTAGTTACAGGTAAGAGTTGTTCAAACCCATCATCTACTTATTTTGCAAATCCAAAGATTTTTGCACAGGCCACGCTGGGAATGCTTACCTCGGTTGGTTCCAAGATGCCACTTTCTCTGAGTTTAGTAAGCTTTCTGTGTACACCATCTCTGTTCCACAGCATGTCGGCTCACATAGGGAATGTATTCCCTCTCCGGATGGCCACAAGCTAGTTATTCTCACATGGTGTAGGTGTTCACAGTTGACTTTATTGAAGGTTTGGGGACATGGAAGGGGGTTCACATAACAGAAAACAGATTCAAATGGGATATTAGATACATCTGTCATTTAAAAGCCTTCAAACATCCTATGACTAATGGTTTTTCAGAGGCTACTTCACCTCACCTAGTGCTGAGCCTTGCACTATCTAGAAAGCTCCACCCATAATTCTGTTTTCACTTTTCCGGTTCAGAATTTCCCCCCAAGATTTTTAAACTCTTCCCAGTCTATTATATGCAGCAGTGTTTCAATCGAGGGTGATTTTGTTCCCCAAGGGTGATCTGACAATGTCTGGATACATTTTTGGTTTTCACAACTTGGGGAGGGGATGTGATTCCTAGTGGCACCTAGTGAATGGATGCTGCTAAACATCCCACAGTGCACAGGGCAGCACCTTTTCAACAAAGAAATATGTGATCCAAAATGCCAACAGAGCAAAGGATAAGCAGCGATGCTATAAAGCAAGTCAGCCCTCTCCAGACTCCCAGGCTCCAAGTTGCCCCACCTTGTACATCCATCCTTGTGAGGCAGTTCCCTCCATCAAAGGGGCCATCAATTCCTGCTGTGGCACACAAGAGCCACGGAGACCCTGAAATGTCCTTTAACATGAGCTTCCCTTCTTAGAAAAAGTTGTGGTTTTGAATAGAATTTTGCCTCAATACTTATAGAATAAAGTTCTCATCCATGCTCAACTCTACTTACTCTGCCAGCAGGAGAGAGAAAGAAGAGAATGTAAATAGTGTGGGAGATTCTGTCTCACGTTCCACTAGAGCATATGCCCTGGAGGAGCGCAGGAAGGGAGATGTGAATCGGATGTTCCTTCAGTTGGTCTCAGTTCCTGAATCGCTCCCATAGTATGAGCATCTCACCATGCTGAGTGTGATTCAAGTGTTTAAAGATACATTTTTTTTTTTTTTTGTACAACATGGCCCCTAAGTGTAAGCCAACCACTTCATCAGGTGTTTAGCTGGGAAAACAGCAATCTGTTCCAATGCTGGAGGAAAAACTGGCTGAGTTGGATGGTATATCAGCCTGAAATGTGCATATAAATAGCCACGTATATTGTACTTTAAGGGTGAATTAAGAGATTTCTTTTTTTTGTTCTGGGGAATTTCTGACTTTATATGATTTTTCTCTTTCCACAATTGACTTTAGAACCCAATTCTATGTAAAATGCAACCATACATGGTGGTGGTGGGGGCGGTAAGAGAATAGAGGTGTTGGCATAGAGCTTTGAGGAGTGGTGAGAAGAATCAAGAAAAAAAAGAAAAAAGGGCGAGCAAAGATCAGAAAGGCAAAGAAAACCGAGAGAGCACATAGCTCCTCTGTCCATTTTCAGAGACACATCTATTTGATGATTGAAAGGAAGAGTTTACTAATTTTATAAAGAGGAAGTTGTGCCACTGAGAGCTTAGCTTGTTGAAATATTGATCTCTTAAAGACATTATAATGCAATGTAGGATCAGGGTCTGCAAACTCACAGTGTGTTATCTATTAAATTGTTCATTCTTTCTTGTGTGTCTAATGTAAAATTTTTGCCATATTTGCCTCTTAATTTAATTAGTTTTAATTAGTTTAGGGTTAAAAAAACACCAAGTATATACCATAAATTCTAAACAATTTGTTTAACTATTAATATTAAATAGCAAGTAACAATGGCAGCTCTTGTAGGCGTGCCTTTGAAGTATTTATAATATGTGAATGTGTGAGTGTGTGTGTGTGTGTAAACAGGAAGGTTGAAAAATAGGTGGTCACTAGATGTCTCTATCTTTGCTGGTGCTCACTCTGTCAATGGCCCACCATCAATAATTTGAAATGGACTATATTCTTCTAATTATTAAGTTGAGATAGGGAAAAGGAAAATTAACTCATAAATATTGCATGGGTCAAAAATTTTATGTAAGATTTAAAAATATAAATCCTATGGTAATCCTTTCAGAAATTCCCTTTTTAATTAAATACAGTATTTTCAAAATTGTGCTATGGTGCATGGCATAGCCTTTCTAACTTGGGAACTTTCTGAATAATGTACTAAATAAAGGGAAAATTGTTCTCTACTAAGTACTGTTTTCAATATGTAAAATTTTGATAATGATTTTCTTTTATTTGGGCACAAATTAAGCATATGGATACTCTCTCTTCACCAAATTGCTCCCCTTTATTGTCAAGACTTTAGTCCAATACTCTTATAAAGTCAACTTTATGAAAAGCAGCTCAGAATGGCGAATCGCAGAAATTAAATACTTGGTTGGAAATATTAGAATATTGGAGAGGGTGTAGGAATAGAAGAGTGTTACCTAATAGGTTTTAGTCAACTTACTCAATAACATTATTAGAAAGAAAGTATTATTTGGATTCCAGAAACAGAATATATTAAAGTCAATGTTATAAATGTTTGAGATAGAATTTGAATCTGGTTCTGTGTGATTCTACGGGCCCTGTCCTTTTCCCTACAACGTTCTGCTCAGCTACCTAAACTCCACCATTAATTCAGTAATACTGTTTCTTAGTATAACTACATTCAAACTTCACTATAATACTATTCACTATAGATTTATATTCTGTCCAGATAGTGCCATTCTGTACAATCTAAATTAGTCAGGGCAATGCACCCAAAACTCATGAAATACACATAATAAAGATGTATTTCTCACTCCCATCACACTCCAGCTCAGGCAACTCTCCTCAGTACCTCTCCTTAAAGAGGTAATTCTGGGATCCAGGCTTCTTTCATACTGTGATGCTGCCAAGCTAAACTTGAGGCTCCCTGAGCATTCATTCATGGTAAGGAACATGAGAGCTTACATAGTCACTCAGGGGAGTTTATGACCAGTGGAGCATGTCACTCCGACTACACTACGGTCTCGACCCAATACACTAGGGTCCAGACCCAACCATAAGGACCCAACCTACTTGAAAAGGAGGCTGAGATATGTGCTTCCTGTGTGCTCAGAAAGAGAAAAATCAAATCAAATTTGGGAAACCCATAGCATTGTCTCTTCTACACCATTTAAGGGAATTTATTTCTTCAAGTAGCAAAAAGACACTAAAAATATTATGTAAAGGTCCAGGTCAAGTTCATGCCATGGGACACTGGGTTACGACACGGGGGATGGAACTGTGCCACAAGAGTAGCATGTTTTGCAATGGGAAGCTTGAGATATCAGAAGAAATTGTGTCTGAGTGTTAGTGGGAGGAAGCCAGGCAGACAGCCCTGAACATCAAATAGCCCAGATATTAATAAGAAAAAGACGAAACAAGTGAGAAGTGATCCAATAAACTCAGACGCCAAGTGCATCAAGAGCAGGAAAGAATATGGGTAAAGAAATGGATGGGAGCAAATGGATTAGAATTAAGGGCATGTGAAAATGGCATAGCTAATGTTTATTGTTTACTATAAACCAGCCGTTATACAGATTGCTGATCCTCACAACAACCCTCTGAGGTAAGTTGTATTATCTCATTTTATAGACGATGCCCAGAGTGTAAGGAATTTACCTGTAGTCACACAGCTACTGAGACAGAGCTGGGATCCAAACCCAGGCGAAGTCTGGCCCCAGAGCCAATGCTTGTCGGGCGCAACTGATCTCACAGATGCATCGCACACAAAGATGCCGCTATGAAATTCGTCTTTACTGTACTAAGTCACAAACACGACTGGCGCTAGGTTATGGTAAAGGGGTACGTTATGGAAGCCATGAGTCATGATACTTAACTGTTAGATATTTGAAAATTTGTGGGCAATGAATCTGTGAGATCAGTTGTGCCCAATGGAGGGTTTTAAACATTATACTTTACTGCGACTCGTAACAGAACATACACTGCTGGCTCCCCTCTCTTTGAGATACCTGGGTTATGACATAGAGGCAACTTTTCAAAAGATAATGTAAAAGGCAGGATGTCAGAGTTCCACTGTACTCTACCACCCACTGATTCATCAGGCTATATTGAGCCTTTCTGTCTTCCTGATCTGATTTCCTCTTTGCAATGTAATTATTTAAAAGGCTAAAGAAACTGATAGACACCTTTCTCCATCACCTTGCTTACAGACCCCAGCCTTTGCTATTCCAGATCATAGGAAATCCTACTTATAAATGCCTCTAGAGCAGGAGGATCACAAATTCCTTTGTAACTTGTCTCAACATTTTGCAATCTGTAAGTAGAGTAGAAATAGGGCATCTGGGATGTATGGAAAATCTGGAATTCTTCCTCAAAATTCCAAGAAGGCCAGTGAATTCTAAATAGCATATGAACCCAAAATGGCACGATGTCTGCTTTCTGCAGACCCTCCACACTTATTTCATAGAGAGAGGTTGACAACTGAACTTGTCATGTAATCCATCCCCTATGCAGAGTTTTTGCAGATTGGAGAAGAAACTACTACTTGTTTCTTAGAAATACTTCTTTCTTGGCCCTTTGTGGTCGGAACATCTCTCAAGCAAATTTTGAATAGCCCTTGAAAACAAAGGTAACATTGATAATGTTTAATGACCTATGTGGTGGCACTGCAATCAGGCATGGGTATCAGCTAATCAGAAGGGACGCAGGCTGTAAGCAAGGAGTCTCGTCCTACTACTGACCCATTGAATGTCAGTCCTGCCCTTAACCTTGTGCAGTGTGTGGCGTTCTAGATGAGGGCTACCTATTAGCGCTCTCTCTGTATCAGGCATAGGTTAAGATCTGAGCTTATTTGACTTTCTATGGAGTAGTGTTACTTGCATTTCACACTCTGTTGATTTATCTCACACAACTAAAATTCTTGTTATAATTCAACAATTTTTTTTTTGGAGATTGGTTTGTGTCAGATATGTTTCTTGTCACTTCAGAAAATCATTAATTGAATCTAGCTTGCTCTGCAAACTTACCATGTGGCTTAGTAAAAGATTAGCTCATCTTCACTAGAATATTTAGTTACTTGAAGCTACTATCTCAGTTTATTGCAAAAGATGGCCCCCTTGATTTTCAGAGGATACATCCTGATATCTGC